CTAACAGTACAAAAAAGAAATTTTTAATTAATTGTAGGTTTTAGACAATAAAAAAAAGAAAAATGGAATACCATAATACAGAGTAATCAATATATCGTAGCAGTTAAGCGTTTATCCTCTTTCCGCTTTCACACTGGAAAATCCGATAATTCCGGACGAAAATAACTATCAGTGGAAGGGGGGATAGCAATCGTTTTGTAAATTGTGCTCTAAATTCTTTAACAACAGGACATTTTAATTCATTTGAGGAATGATTTCCTCCGCAATGAATACATTTTAACTGTTGTGAATATTGATCTGAAGTAAGATCAACACAGGAGAGGCCGCACACCTTGCAGGTTTCATCATTTTGTTGATACTGTTTGCGACAGTGTCTAATTCCACAGCATTTTGAACATATGAGAACTCGTGCTGGTGCAAACTACTCCTCCACGATCTACGATTACTCTGTATTATGGTATTTTATTTTTATTTTTTTAAAATTTCTTTTTTGTACTGTTAGGGCCTTAATGGTCTTCAGTGTGGGCAAATAAAAAAAACAAGAAATTTTTCTGTTTAAAGAATAAAATAAGAGAAGAACGAATTTTATATTTTCATCAAATGTTCATCTTTTATATATTCTACGAAGAGAGTGCTCACGCACATTTGCGATACATTTATTGCAATAAGTGTTTGTTTTATCGAGGCTGTTACGGAGCTTTTGCAGTTACAGTAATGAATAATTATAGGTCCAAGTAACGTGTTTTATTGCCATTGTTATCGATAAACAATCTTTATCATGGTAATGAGCTAGTTACTTTATCAAAATTATCGCTGTAACTGCAGAAACTTCGTATCGGCCTCAATAAAACAAGCACTTACTGGAATAAATGTATCGAAAATATCTTCATGGGATTCTTTACTTTGTTGCGCTGCCAACCTGGTTCTTTGCCTGTCTAATCACAAATGTCACTGTTAGCCACCATGATTTTGTACGGTCTGTTCGATTGATGTCATGAAATTTTATATTTATCATTAATCAAGCAGTTCGTGCGCGTGACAGATAATGACTCTTAACTGTCGTCGTTTGTTCTACTTTTCAGAAAAATTAGAAATGACATAAAACACAATGACGGCTGTTTTTCATATTGTCGGCATTTTAATTGTAAATCTATTTAAATCTTACATAAAGCTTCATCTTTTCTCATGCCTAAAGAATAAAGAGAAAGAGAACGTTAACGTCAGCGTTCTGTAAACACAGATAGTAGATAATGAGCGCATATCCAGAGTATACTCTACAACCCAACTAGAAATGACGATGGCGGAAAACAGTTCATTACATGATTCCAAGAGTGCTGAACTTATCCATCGATTAAATTTCATTTCAATACGGTTAAGTTTATATTTCGGTGGTTCTGTACTATTTTTTGGTGTTATCAGTTGTGTTTTGGTAATTATTATCTTGTCCAGATATAAAGCGCTTAGACAAAATACATGCTCGATTTATTTACTCGCGTCAAGCTATGCCGACATGATTTTCCTGTGTGTTGGGCCCAGTTTTGGTGTCCTCATTGATGGATTCAATTATGATCTTCCCGGACGTTTTCTATTCATATGTAAATTTCGTTCATATTTGGCACAAATTAGTGGAATGTGCACATTGACATTTATTATTCTGCCAACTATTGATTGCTATCTCAAATTGACCACACATTTAACATTCACAACAAAGTATGCATGCCGTCTTATTATCGGTACAATCGTGTTTTGGGTAGTTCAATCGATTCCAACTTTCATCTATTTTCAAATAGACACAACAACACAAAAATGTCATCCTAAACCAGGCATCTTTTCAATTTATCATGCCGTTTTTCTGCTCATTGTATTTAGTCTTATTCCGTCATCGTTATTATCAATATTTGCTTCCCTCACTGTTTATAATTTACGTAAAGTTCATGATCGTATTCCACCATCTAGAACAAACAAACGAATACAAGATGTCAACAGAGAATTAACTCGAATGCTGTTTGTTCAAGTTGGTCTGATTATTTTTGCTTCAATTCCTTTTGCTTGTCAAAATATTTACGGGCTAATTACTGTTAACAATATCAAAAGTGAAAACCGTCTAGCATGGGAACATTTCGCACATATTCTATCCGAATTATTAATTGACGTTTACTGTTCGACAGACTTTTATCAACATATTTGTCTGTCGCCAATGTTTCGAAAATATTTTTGTGCTACAGCAAGAAATGTACCATTTGTAAAATGTTATGCCACAGTCGGGCGTTATCATCGGACACGGCAAAAAACTGAAACGTAGAAACTAGAACGAATGTATTCGTAGATCGAGTATGTTGGACAAAATGAATTTATTTGATATTATGCAAATAAAATGTAAGCGAACAAACGTAGGCCATTTTGTGCATTTTCAATACAAAGTTACATAACAGTAGTTTTCAGCGAGACAGAGCGATTTTACTTTTTTCAAATTCAGTAGATAAAATCCTTAAAACCAAAGAGTAGAAGTGAAGAGAGAGAATAATTTGTGTGCTCAAAATGGAATTAATAGTACTCGCCAGTTTTTTCAAGCTTTATGGTATTTCTTACAGATCAGAAAAAAATGATTTTGTGATTCATTTTTTTCGCATGTGCATGATGGATCAGGAATAAGGGTGTCACAGTGGGCATTTCCTCATAGAGCAGGCGGCATTTTTTGCCGACATAGTTTTTTTGAATCCAAAAGCACTTTTTTATAGGTTTTCGCATACGGTATTTCCAGCAGTGTGGCAAAGGTGAG